TCTCCCATGACCAAACCATCCAGTTCAAAGAACAAAACTCCATAAAAATCATCCACCTGAGCTACAAATCTTCTCCACCATCTCAAGAGTTCAATCTTTTTTTCTTTTTAAATAAAAACAACAAATAAGGTGTTCACCATATACAGTTAATGTAAACTTCTCTATAAGAGGAGGCAAACTTACTTTACGTTACTGTGTCAGTAAACTCTGTAGAATAACCACTTTTGATGAGTTTTGGTGGAGTTTAAATAGCTTGTTATCGGTGTATATTCATCTGGTTTATCGAGGATGCAGAGTGAATTAAGCCTTGTTTCTTGTTCAATGAGATCCAGTTATAGAAATTTGTATATTGACCATTTCAATAAATAGTTTCTTAATGAGAATCAATCAAAAGTGTATGAGCTTCAAATGGTTTAAAAATTTAGCAATTTATATATGAACTCTGTGTACACAGACAGTAAGTACAATTTCTAATTATACCATATCTTTCCTACAACTTCTAGTACATCCTTAGTATGATTATTGTACTAAAAGTATTTTATAATAAGTTGGCCAGATACCATCAGCAACAACCGACTGTAATAGAGGACAAACTAGCTTCAAGCTTGAGGAAATTAGGAAAAGATGTTGGAAGTGAATAGGGTATACATTACAGAAATAACCAAACTGCATCATGAGGCAGATTCTCACTTGGAATCCTGAAGTGAAACGGATAAGTAGAAGGCCAAAGAACACACTGCATCGAGAATTTGAAACAGACATGAAAAGAATGAATAGCAACTGGAAAGGATTGTCCAGGACAGAGTTGGATGGAGAATGCTGGTGATAGGCATATGTCCCTCCACGAGGGTTAACAGGCGTAATGAAGTAGGTAAGTACACTTGTTAGTAGCTTCACAATGAATTGTCTACATTCAAGTGAGAATTCTTGACAGCGGAAGTTTAACCGTGTCAAGAGTGAAAGACAATTATATAGTGTATTACATAAATGTTGCCTTATATTCCTAATTTATTAAAGTTGAATATGTGAAGCAATGGGTGTGAACTTATAGCAACTCTCATAAAATTCACTTTTGCTCACAGTTAATGTTGTCCAATACTTCGCTTAGCTTCGTTTTGATTTCACTATAAATTCGCCTCTGTATTCGCTCACATACACACACACACATAAGCCTCTGTGCTCCAATTCGTTCGATGTATTTGTAACCTTATTATCTGTGCTATCCGACAATAAACTGTAGTCGGAGTTTATTGATACCTTTCGAATTTATATACCGTTGAGATATATTTACTAACGGTTATCAGGTGTATTGTTAAACGAAGCGAAGCCACTACAAACTCACTGGGTTAGACGATCACTATGTGACTTGAAAGTTGAGAATTCAATCCTTTATGGGAACATTGTTAGATTTCTATGAGAATTGCCATTTTGTAAGTGATTAGTTATCTACCTATCCCTTGTTTCACTAGTACTTTAATGGAAGTTATTTAATGTCGTAAGTAAATGTTAGTTCTAACTAAAACACTGATTTATGGTAGTAACGTTAGAATAATGAAAATAGATGATTTTCACTGAAAGGTACTTTTAGGAATTGTACATTCAAAAAGACTGTTTTGTTCTTCCCTGAGTTTATATGACCTTCTTTAAAAGGTTTTATTACATAATTACTACTAAATTATCTACCAATGAACTTATTTATACTGTAGAGAGCTGAAACTTAGAGAACTACTACAACGATCATCAAGAAGGTACAAGTATTTATAAATAGCTGTCTTGCAAGATACTTGATATACATTGGCCGGATACCATCAACAACAGCCTACTGTAGGAGAGAAAAACCGTTTTCCAGCTGGAGAGGAAATTATGAAAAAACGATGGAAATGGATAGGACATATATGATGGAAATAATCAAAATGCATCACGAGATAACCCCTAACTTGAAATCTTTAAGGGAAACGGGAAAGAGAAAGGCCAAAGTACACATTACGTCGGAAAATAGAATCAGATATGAAAAACAGGAATAAGAACTGGAAAGGATTGCCCAGGAAAGGGTTGGATGGCGAATGCTGGTGAGCGGCCTATGCTCCTTCACGAGAAGTAACAGGTGTAAGGAAGTAATTTAGTATAAACTTACTTAAATGAACTCTTATTTTAAGTCCTATTATAGTTATGTTATTATGCCCAATAATTTGTAGAAACATTTTATCAAATATGATGTAAGCTCTCCCTCTCGAAATACTCTTATATAACCAATCGTATACAACCACTGTCAGGGAAGTTCTACTCAATGCGTTCTCGTGACATTACTGTTATTTACATAATTAAGAGAATGAAAAGTGAATATCCGGTGTTTTATTCGGGTTGGTGAACCCTCCGTGTCCATCTAGGGGAGTTGGAAAACTAGAAGGGAAATTCTATAATAAATCTATATATATACAAAGTTTTAAAACAAATTTTCTAATGTATAAAATAGTTTTTGTTTTGTTTTAATTACATCACAGATAATAATTAATTCAATGTAATTCTAGAGCAAGAAATAAAGAAAGAAAATAATCAATTATGAAATGATCAGTTCAACTAAATACATTTACATCCTCCCCATCCCCCTCCTCCTCCTCTTGTTCCTTCTCTTCATCCTCCCATGGGCGCCAATATTTATTCATTCTTATTTCTTTGTGTAAATCATTAATATTTTGTATTTTATTATATTCATAGAATTGATTATTTTGTTTTATTGATTTATTGATTATTGATTGCTCAAATGAATGAATGAATTGATTATTATTATCATTATTATTATTCAATAACTTTAATCCTTTCCTTTTATTGATTTTTATTTTCATTGTTGTGATGGTTGTTGATAATGGTGATGAGATTGGCGCCAATAATTTCATATTTGAATTTTGATTTCTATTAAAATTTTCAATATTTTCTATGATTTCAATTAATTTATCTAATAATTGTATATCGGACATCTATTGTTTTAAAATAAAATAAAATAAATAAACAAATTGAAATATAATATCAACAGTTGAGATCATGAGTAGTCAATTGAAGCTAGACCACCATGGAATACCTGGAGGGACTAGATGGTCGTTTCAATCTGATATGAGACTTCATAGTAGTGCTCATTCACGATTCGAGTACAGGACTTGTCAGTCACGCACGCGAACGCTTAATCTCTAAATTATTGAGCCGGCCAGTATTCAACAGTGTTAATGTCTAACTTTAATCCATCCCTGAAATTGAGTCACCGTCCATCAATGCGTTTGTGTGCGAAATCGATAGGTCCTGAATTCAAATCCTTTTAGGCGGGATCATGGATACGTACTGCTGTGAAGTGCCACAACAGAACGAAGCGGCCGTCTAGTGCTTCCAGGTTTTCCATAGTGCTCCAGCTTCAATTGACTCATGAATTTCAACTATTAATTTATATACAAACGGAAGTCAAATATCAACATTTAACTAGTTTTGTTAACAGAAATGAGAAGTGTAATTAGCGTTTTTTTTAAAAATCAATTAGTCCCTTTGATAAACTTTGATAATGCCATGAGAAGGTGAAGGTTATCGGAATTATGTAATATGTTTGAGCAATACATTTCGAACAATCTCATCACATATAGACATGTTAATAACATTTATATGTGTAAACTAATAGGTCAACTAGACAGATTAAAGGTAACAATGAAAAATAAAGCAGGCGAAAACAATTTACATATCAAATTCACTTGGTGTTGTTTACTTGTATCTTCCCATTGTTGTTTAGGACTGCAATTGATCAGTCTCCTGTTGGCCTATGTGTATCCTGTGTGGATTGCCTCGATAATGCCTTAAGTCATAAGCGTTTTAAGCAAAGATGGATAGTGGCTAGTAGTGGAATACAGGACGCGCGTTTTGTCCTAGTTTGGACTCGTCAGTTTATATGTATATGCGGAAATATGTACATAGCGAGGAGTAATCGTGACCTGTAAATAAGGGTGGCGGAGCACATACTTAAATGGCTGCAGAAAACAAATGGATTCTAATGATCACATAAGATCACAGGATAGACAGACATCTTTTTCCATTGAGAAACATTCGGTTGAGACTGGTTATAAGGTTATTATCAAGTCAGCATTTGTAGTGTTGTACAAAAGACTTCAAAAGCATATACTAAGGTTTATTGAAGCCTTGGCTAAACGGAAACTAAAACCTCTTTTATGAGTTCAAAAAACAATTTGTCCCTACCCTTAACCTACCTTCGTAATACTGATTTATTATCCAGAGTGGTTATCACATTGTTTTTGTTTACTTTATTTTTTATTGTTACGACTTACCTTTAATCTGTCTGGTTGACCTTTTAGTTTTCATATGAAAATGTCTTAACAAGTGTATGTGTAAACTTTTTTATTGTTCATTTAATTAAGATTACAATTGAATGAGCCCATCTTCAAGTACTTGCTCCTACTTATTTTCATAGGTTAGAATATGGATTTAGAAAAGGAAACCAGTTGGAATCACTATTCCTTATCCAATGTAATGAAGTTTACCTAAAAGTTAGGTACATAGAATTATACTTAGTTAATAAGTTTAAGTATTCAACTATCAGGTGGTGGTTTGAGGTAGTCAACAGGAAATCCTGGACCAAGGTTTCGTGCTGTTTGGCATTCGTCAGCAAGGTGTGCCTGTAATCTTGAGGGAACTGATGCACGCCGATGGATTCGATCTCAGGTCACCCGCTTTCACAATCCGAGCCACGATTGATTTCCTGTAGGACTTACACGTATTTACAATTGATTGATCAATGGGTGGTAATCAATATCATATGTATCAAGTCCTTTTTCTGTGCAGATCAAATACTATCGACTAAGTAGCAATGTGGCCACTAGTCTAGGTGACTCGACATTTCGTGCACTATATCGGGAGGAGATGGTGGTTGGAGGTATTTGACAAGAAACCCTGAACCCGGGTTTCGTATCATCAATTACACAACTACGAACTCATTCTGTAATTCACCCGATTTAAACTAAACAACAAAGTTGGTCATTTAAAAAATACAATAATGAACTGACTTTTTCACCACCAAGAAATGAATGTATTCGATCATATTCAATTCTTTCTAGACGTCGACGATATTGTTCTATTGATGCTTTTGTAAATTTTACCTAATGGAGTAAAATCAAGATAGTTTCATTATAAGCGTGATATATATTTATATACAGTGAAGAGTTCTTAAATTGTGTTTTTTTCTCTCAAATATAGACATCATTAGTTATTTGAAACATATTTAATCATTATAATACTTGAACATTTAATAGTTGAAGTCATGAGTCAATTGAAGCTAGAACATCATGGAAAACCTGAAAGTACTGGATGGCCGTTTCAACCTAGTATGGGACTCCTCAGCAGTGCTCATCGACGATTCCACCTTGCGAGATTTGGAAAATAGCAACCTAGTATTTAAGTAGTATATCAAAATTAGTGATATTATACCGCTTTGAAAGTCTAATGATGCTGTTAAGAAAATATTGAATAATAGTAGACGATCTGAGTAGTTTAGAGGCAACATTGGTTTCCTTAATAACAAATTCATGTGTAGCATAATAGTGACATTGGATTCAACTTTTTTTGATCATTTGGATGCTTTCTAATTTCAAGAATTATTTTTATTCATTGTTTTCATACCTGTTCATTCTTTATCACGGTTATTGTTTCTGTTAGGTGTTCATTCAAGATCAAAGTCTTTGATTCAAGTTCCGTTTGGGGATCGTGGATGCGCACTGCTGAGGAGTCCTACATTAGAATGAAATGGCCATCCAATGCTCCCAGATTTTTAATGGTGGTTTTAACATTGATCGGTTCATAATGTCAATGTTATTTACTATAAGTCGACTGCCATTTGGGGTTCCATTTATCACTCTGTTGGCAGTTCAACTGTTTGAATGGACGCCTAGATATTGAATTTCTTTGTACGTTTCCTAGTTAGTTATATCATGAATAGTAACTAGTAGGCAATATCAAAGGATCCATTGAAAAAAGTTATTTGATAATCAAGACTAATCGAGACAATCTTTATCATCAACCAAAAGCAGCAAGTGATAGGTATCCTGAACTTCAGAACTTTGTGAACTTCTAATTTATGCCTATTGAGTTCTAGTCTCAGTGAGAACATCAGCATAGAGATGTAGATATGTCCAACTGTTAAATTCCCAAAACGAACAAAGAGTATATTTAAGATTTGATTGTTTCTCACCAATCAAATCTCTAATTTTATCGAATTTAATGAAATAAAAATAAGGGGAAATACTTTGTAAATTCACTTGGTGTTGTTTACTTGTATCTTCCCATTGTTGTTTAGGACTGCAATTGATCAGTCTCTTGTTGGCACATGTGCATACTGTGAGGATTGCCTCGATATTGCCTTAAGTCATAAGCGTTTTAAGCAAAGATGGATAGTGGCTAGTAATGGAATCCAGGACGCGCGTTTCATCCTATTTGGGATTCGTCAACTGGATGTACCTGCATCTCGGAATTGATGACTACCCGGGACTCGAACCCAATACCGTTTGCTTCAGACGCCATTGCGTTATTCACTTAGCTACTAACTCCTGACATACTTTCTTCATTGAAAACGTTATTTACGAACAAAAATATCCGTTTAATGAAGAATTGAATTTGTAAACATTCAAACAGATAACGATATGAATGTTCATTACCTTGTCAGTTATTGAGTCATTATGTACAAGGAATTTATTTTGTTCATATGGCTTAGCAGTTTTAAGACATAATAGATCTGATTTATATTCAGTAGTAGAAGTGTTTGTTAAAGGTATACCAATCAGTTTGTCAGCTGCATATTTGAGTATTTGAATTCGTGTCATCTACAATGCAATAACAAAATTAACTATTGAACATGGTGTAGAAAATCAACGATACAGACAATATGGAATAATCACATTTGTATTAATATATTGTGTTAACAGCAATCTTCCTAGATCCATCAAACTAGGAATCCTACAGATGGCTGAAGCAATTGCTATACGGATTAAACAGCCAGAGCTTTGAATACAAAAGAAGTATGTTCAACCTCTCCTATTACCTTGGGCCACGATCCCGTCCTGCCGGATTCGAACTCAGGATCTATCAGTCCCGCGCTCGAACGCTTATTCTCTAGACCACTGAGCCGGCCGGAATCCAACGGTGTTAATATATAACTTCAACCAACCCACGAAATTGAACCACACATCCACCATTGTCTTCAGTGAGTTACTATCTCACAACAGACCTGGTTGAACTCCACTAGTCATTACTTCTCAGTAGAACTCCAAGTAATACCTCTTGAAACCAATCACTAGTAAGTATATACAGATTAATATTATGTTATTTTTTATGTGACAAACAATCTTTGATTCATGTTATTGATTTTAAATATACTTTGCCTTAAACCTGACCATCATTTGGATATGAGATAATTATAGAACCTGATGAGAAATTATTAAGAATATTATTTACTCATATAATTGTGTTTTAATACAATGGGAATTTTTCAGTTTATTTATTTAAACACATAAACATTAGTACAAAGATGCACCAAATAGATATGCGCCACATAAATCATTTGATTTGAGTTAGAGCTGCGATACTTTCTGGGTTCCCAGACCGACGCAGGTGGTTTACTTAGAAAGTCACACCCCAAGCCTTCTACTTAAAGGTCTAATCCATAAAGGAGTGGAGCATCGTAAGGAGATGCAGTCCCATGGTAGCCGATGACTAACAGTTGATCCACACATATGATCCTGGAACGCATGCGCATCATTGATTTTGAATTAGAATTTTCCAAGTTTAATATACCGCCTAGTCGTCAATGTTTATTGAGCCAGCAATTTGTGTTAACTAACATTGATGTCTTAATGAAATTTATTGTAGATATAGAACTCTGTGTGTAAATTTGAAACTTTTAATATCCAACATAAAGAAGTCATTTTTAACCTCAAAACAATTGATTCTTACTCAATAAGTCAGCTATACATGAAACAGTCTGTTAATCAGAGAAAACATTACTGAATTATTGTATTGGTAGGTGTCATGCTTTTGGGGCCCGAGATCTGACTCCAATTGGATCGTATGATTGATCGTTATTGAATGATTGCTATTGAAATATATATGTCACCTGGCTATCCTTGTATATAATGATTGACTGAAGTCACGTTGATGAATAGCGGAATTAAATAAGTCAAATAAGAGAATGGATTTTCGAATAGATATATTTTGTATACTTGTTGATTTGGCTAGACAATTAAACGGACAAAGTGGGTAGAAGAGAGCGAAGCGAAATGATGCGCGGTGAAGAAGGCGTGTGAACCAACTCGGTTTAATCAAGCGTTAATTAATATTTATAGTTAGGTACAAATAAGTCACAGATGTGTGATGAGTAGGATAAGACGTACACACTCACACACGTTCATACAAAAACAGTCAAGGTTGATAAGTGAATAATTAAAAAGATCAAAACATGACTCAAGAATAACGGATAACATTGACCTGTGCCGAAGCTAGAATAAAGTAATATAGGCTTAACATAGTAACTGACACTACAACAATGTCTTTCATGTTTTTAATTGATTTTCTATACAGTAAGAAAGATTACGCATAAAACTTACATCTTTACTGAGTGCTAATATATTGCGAAGATGATCTAGACGATGATTAATTTTCTTACGTCGTAATCTTTCTGCATCTACCTTCTTTGTTGAAAAGAACAAAAAATTACTAAAGTATATTTATTAACTGAAAAATAATCAATAAAATGAATAAGTAAAGATTTGAAAGGGAAGTTGGATAACAGAAGAGAAAAATAGATGTAATACTATTGTAGTCGAATGGGGACAATCGAATCTCTTAGTAAAATTTGAGAATCATACAGTAAATAGTTCATTTGCAAAATATTATAATCAGAAATGGGTATTGTGGATACTATATTGATTTAATAGTTAAATTCATAAGTCATTTGAAGTTAGACTACCATAGAAAACCTCGAAGCAGGGGACGACCGTCTTGTTCTAGTATGGGACTCCTCGTATGTGCGCGTCCAGGATCCCGCCTTGGGGGATTCGAACTCAAAGCCTTCGGTCTCGCACTCGACAGCTTAACCTCTAGATCAATGAGCCGGTATCCAACAATGTTAATTTCTAACCTAAACCAATTTACCAAATCGCGTGATCATCTTCAATTGTACTGAGGTAGATCCCTAAATACATGGATTAGCTCCACTGATCACGACTTCTTAGTAGAACTCTAAGAATTCCCTCACGAAGCTAGTCACTAATCAGCATATGGTAATTATGAGTATTGGGTTGTAAAGACTGTTAAGTTTTTGATTGAGATCATGAACCAATTGATTTTAGGCTAGCGTTGAAAACCTACAAGCACTAGATGGCCGTTTCATCTTATTATAGGACCCCACAAAACTGCCCTTCCACGATCCCTTACTCAGGATTCGAACCCAAGGCCTTCAGTCTCACATGCGAACACTTAGCTTTTAGACCGTTGAACCGGCATCCACTAGTGTTAATATTTAACTTTATCCGACCCATAACCTTGAGTAACTCTTCATTCATCGTCTGACTTGAATGATTATGTCACATTCACTGATCATTAATGAGCACATGGCAATTATCAATATTAGATTGTGAATATTATTAAGTTTTCAATTGAGATCATGAGCCAATTACTGTTAGACAATCATTGAAAACCTTACTGTACTGAATGATCGTTTCACCCTATTGCGAGACAACTAAGCAACACATTCACACAAGAGATCGAAGGATTTGAGTTCGATTCCCGCGACTAAAATCGTCGATCCACACATCTCAAGAATCCCAAAATACAATGAAACGATAGTCCAATACTTTCATGTTTTCAATACTAATCTAACAACATTAATCCATTCATAATGTTAATGAAAAATTGTTTACAATCTGCACAATATAATCAGAATATAACTTACCTTTTTCTTACGTTCATCCATTATTTCCATTTTCTTTATTATTATTATTATTATTATTATTATTATTATTATTATTATTATTATAATCAATGTTATCAATATCCAATCTATCTATCCATCTACAATTGTAATTCCTTCTTGTTTGTTTTTGTTGTTGCTGTTGCTCTTTTCTGTTTTTGTTTTTTCAAATGAAACAAAATAAAAAAAAAGAAAATATTCTCTTTTTATTGATGATTTCACTATTTATAGTTTTCTTGATTATTGATTCATTATTGTTTTCAGTCATTTCACGGTTGGTTTCTTAGATTATCATTTTATTGATTGATTCGATTAATTAATTGTGGATTATTCATTAACATACCATGAAAAATGATAAATATATCTTAGATGGATCAATCACATTTCCCCCCTCCCCTTTGAAATTTTATTTGGATTTTTTTTTGTTATTGATGAATATGATTTTGTAAGAACGGCAACAACAACAACAACCACAACACCAACAATCAATATGATATTTTGACAATCATGTTTATTCATGTGTAGAGTGTTTGGCGTTTTTCATTTTTTGTTTTTTTCTATTTTTTCCTCTTTTTTTTTCTTTTTTCTTTCAACTTCCCCACCCCTTTCTCTTTTAAAAAAAAATAATTATTTATTTATAATATCTTAATCCTACATTTAATACTTTCAAAAATGATCGTCTTTTTTTTTTGTTCTTTTTCGTTTTATTCATTTCATCACCATCAAATAGAAAGTGAAGATTATTGATTAATTAAACTTTAATATTTATTGTATAAACACGAGTTGTTTATGATGATAATGATGATGGGATGTTTTGATTTGCCATTGGGTTTTTTGTTGTTGTTGTTGTTCTTTGTTCTCTTTTCGAATCGATATTTGTGGGTCTTTTTTTCGATCATATTTTGTTTGTTTGTTTGTTTGAAATCATTGTGTTTAGTTGTGGTATATTGTAATTCGAAATTTTTCTTTTTTACTCACATTTATATGCGTACAATATATGAGTGTGTGTGTGTGTATGTGTGATTGATGCGTCTTTTTGTAAAACAAAACAAATCAATGGTTGAGATCATGAGTAGTCAATTGAAGATAGACCATCATGGAAAACTTGGAAACACTGAACGGTCGTTTTATCCTAATAGTGCTTATCCACGATCTCGCCTCGCAAGAGTCGAATGCAGTGTGGTGTGTGCTACTTATATTGATATAAGTAGTACATGATGTTAGTCATGAACAGAAGGTCTGCCAGCAGAGAGACAAGAGGATCGAACAATAAAGAATGAAAACAGGATGCAATTTGTATGACAATGCAAGAACAGTGAAATCTGAGTCATTTTGAGACAATCAATGGACGTTTTGCAAAAATTAAGCATTTACTCTATGATTGTTAGATTTTATGAACAAGTGTTGTAATTTTGTGTTAAGTATATTCGACTGTCCCCACCCGTGTTTTGTTCACTAGAGCAGGACCTATAGGTCTTATGCGCCAGCGCTTAACAACTAGACTACTAAGCCAGTCGGTATCTAACGATGTTAATATCTAACTTCAACCAATCCACAAAATAGAGCGACACATTCACCATTGTCATCAGTGAGTTAATATCTCTCAACAGATCTGGTTGAACTTCATTTTGTCACTCATTCTCACTAGAACTTCAAGAAATACCTCTTGAATCCAATCACTAGTGAGCACGAGACTAATAAGTCCTGGGTTTGAATCTTGTGAGGCATGATCGTGAGTGAGCACTGTTGAGGAGATCGATACTAGCAAGAAACGGGCGTCCAATTCTTCAACATTTCCCATCGTAGCCTAGCTTCAATTGACTCATGATCTCAACCATTGAAATTACTATAATATCC